GTCAAAGCCATTCCTCACAATTTCAAGCTAACTGCATTTACCACCCTGTCATTAAATTGCCTTCTGGTTTATGGATGTGGGCAAGGCTTTAGGAGGGATTGCATTTTTTCCCCTCTCCCAACCGCAGGCTCTCCCCCTCTGCAACGCCAGAGCCACGGTGAAAAACTCAGGGCTCCCATTCCTGGTTTTTATTCCATTGTTCCATTCATTGTGTGGGGGATTTCACAGCAGCAGCATCCACAGCCCACGTATTGCTGGAACCTCCCCAGAGGCCAATATCTCCCTTCTCATTTGTAGTTACAAGGTGAGCACATTTCCCTGGAACACTCTCAGTCTTAGCTGCACTGGATGTCTGTCCATGCAATCACTCAGGTGCTGTCTGTCTATTACCTGATAAAGACATTTTTGCCTGGATTTCAATATAACTGAAGTGGGGAGGGTGGGATGAAAGCTCAGCCAAGGGAGAACCTGCTCAGTAACACAGGAGCCCCTCGTGCTCAGGTAGGTCCCCACTGCTGACAGACTGCACAAAGCAGAGCTCTAGGCTTGGCTTTGGAGCACGAGCAGCCTGGTTTTGGCAGCATGGAGCCCTCACAGGGCAATTATCCCTCACAGCTCCAGGGGCAAACACCAGGGCTTGAACAGCTGCAGCTTCAAGTCACAGTTCTCCTGATTATTCCCTTGCCCTTCCTTAACAGATGGGGTTTATTCAAGGGATGACTCACCTGGACTGACAGAATGAATGGAAATATTCTTCTGTCAAACTGCATCCCACCCTCAGCAAGCTCCCCCAGGAAACCCTCTGGGCTAACCCAGCTGATCAGGGAAGCTTTTTGCTCCCCAGCTCCAGAGTTACCAGCTCTCACCAACTCCTGTTAGCTGAGCACAGGAATATTCTGTTATTTTTTGTGTTCCAGTTCCCTGACTTTATTTTACAGATGGAGTACCTTAAAGTTTGTTAATTGCCTTAAAAAATGCTTTTTATTAAAGTCAGCTGAAAGCAAAAGTACAGAAAGAAAATGTACCACACTCAAACCCAGTCTAAAAAATCCTGCATAAGAGGTTTGATGTTGTTTACAACAAAAACCACACAGGATAAAGTGTATTTTTCTTCCTTTCTAAGGTTGAGATAATGACCACCCCCACTCTCTACTCCACCTCCAGAGAGCCCTAAGTTACAGATCCTGCAATCTTCTTTTATACCAGAGGTGCCTCTTCAGCAATTAGCTGTGATTTCCAGCCCCAGCTGAGCCTCTGAGCCCTCCTCCCTCCCAGGCTCTCTAACCCTGCCTGGAGGAGCATCCCCAAACCAGCCTTGAAAGTGCTGGATGCCCTCTGGCATGTCTGAGTGCCTTAATCACCCAGGCAGCAAAGACAGAGTCAATAACTCCCACTAATCAACTCGACCCTCACTGAATTACTGAGCTGGCAGCAAAACAGTGACCCCATCCTGCAAAGAAAATGTTTGTACCTTAGAGCAGTGCCTTTTCCATGTGCTGCCAGGAGTCAAATCCCTGGAAATTCACCATCCTGGATTATAGAAAATCATTGCAAGTTGTTTAATGGGTTGGGATTTGAGAGAATCCTGGGATGGTTTGGGTTGGGAGGGACCTCAGAGCCAATCTCATCCCATCTCCTGCCATGGGACACCTACCACTAGGCCAGGCTGATCTAAGCCCTGCTCAACACCCAGCACTTCTCTGCACAAAGCCCACATCCCACCTGGCTGAGTACAATTCCAAACAATTCCTTGATGCCCTGTTCTCTGAGGATTTAAGATTAAAATCTCACGGGTGTCCTGGGGAGCAGAGTTAGAGCCTCAAACCTCATTTTGGGGATGTTTCTGAAAACAATTTTTTTCCCCCCCTGTTTTAAATTCCCACTCTGAGGTTACTTTTACAAGTTTCATTGGACTACAACCAAAAGAAAAAATAAAAATCACAAACTGAAAGCCCTGTGCTTCAGCCAGCTCCACTCTGCACTTTAATTGCTTTAAAGCAGAGGCCATGTGTTGTGTTCTCTCAGGGGTACGTGGGAAGGTGAAATGAAAGTGAGTGAAGAAAAAAAAAAAAAAAAAAACTTTATAAAAAATCGACACTTGGAGGGAAATGAAATAGAACTGCTGCAGGGCTGGAGCAGTCTGGAGATCAACAAGATGAAGACAACTGCCAAGGACAGCCCTTCCCTGCCCATGCCTCTCCTGCAAGCACATCTTCCCAGCTGCTGCTCCCCAAGCACAGAGCCCCAGCCCTGCCTTTTAATACATCACTGGAGAGGGTTTGCAGTTTAAGGGGAAGGACATCTCCTCACCAAAAAACATTTCACAGGGGTTAAGACATCACTTTCCAACCTCCTGAACAAATTAACCTCCCTGCTCGCAGGCTGTATTTTTCAAGTCTCTACTTGGTGATTCCTGATGAGATTCCTGAGGTTATGACTTAAAAGTTGCACTCTGTATTTCATTTTTGAAGCAGCCTGTCCCTGGCTGCCAGATTTATTATTCCAAAAGCTGGGCCTGTACATCTTGTGCTCAAGGAAGATATAAAATATTCTGGGAGAGCTTTCCCATCCCATGTGAGCTGCTGTTGAGTAGCCCCAGCTCAGCATTTTTAGATCAAGAGCATTTCAGTACAACATGGGTGAGGCCCTTACAGGCTTGCCATGTCCATTTTAGACTTGACACGTTCTGAGCAGCATTCCTGGCTTCCCCCATGCTGATAAATTACTTCTGAGATCCCAGGAGTTGGGGTTTGTAGGCACTTCTGCTGAAGCCAATTACAGTTCATTCTAATTTCTCTGCACTGCAGCAAACCCTGGGTCTTGGACACAAAATTTCTGCCACACGAGACCTTCAGGACTGATGAACTCCTTTGATTTTGCCTTGTTTAAAATACAAAAGATGTCCATCTGTGTAGCTGAGTTAAAACCAAATGACAGAGAGCAAGACAGATCCATCACTCAGCTCCACGGAGCTGTTTTGTTATATTTTCTCTCTGAGCCATGAAACTCAGAAAGACAGAAACTTTCCAACAGCCCTGAGCAGTATTTGCTTTTACTCCTCATTATGTCATGTGAACTTCATTTCAACTCTTTAGAAAAGGTTTCCTGACTCCAGGGCAAAAATTAAAAAAAAAAATTTAAAAAATGGAAGGCATCATCAAAATAATTTGGAGAAGATCAGAAGCACAAATGACACAGAAAAATGGGAGGTTCCCTGCCCAAGGCAGGGGGTTGCAAGTGGAGGATCTTGAAGGTTTCCAACCCAAACTCTTCCAGGATTCTGTGACCCCACCAGCTGAGTTGCTGCCTTGAGGAGCAGGGTTTGCAGGGGCTGCTCTGGAGAAGGAAGTGATGGAGAATCCCAGAGAGGGTCTGTGCTCATGGCAAATGACCAGGTTGGGCTGTGGTTTCCCAAAAGCACCTTGTTTCCTATGAAACACCATTTCTTGCCTTTCAGTGAGCAGATTCAGAGCTATGAAAGGAAACAGGGACTCATTTTGGGTAAGTCCTGTAAGTTGAGGATCTGAAAATTGGGGAGTTGGACCTCACTCCCTTCATGGTTTCAGTTACTGCACTCCAGTGCACAGACTTTTAAAATCAACTCCTAGGAGGACACTTTAATGAATAAACTAATGAAAGCATAATACTTAACCAAAAACATTTACTCAATTTAAAGAATAAAACCCTTTGCATTTTTCTCATCTGTTCTGTAAAGCAGTTATTTACAATTTTCATTTATTTATATTAAAATCTCATGAAAGACACACACCATATTGCATCTGACAGACTGCCATGTATTATTTCCAAATTCCAGTTAAATGAAAAAGCAGGGAGATGACTAACACCAAGCAACTTATTTGAATTCACTCAACACTGAGGAGCTTAACAAAAAAAAAGGGGACTGGGGACAAAACTGTGCATGTCTGGAAAGAGTGAAAACTAAAAGTGAAAACTAAACCAGCCCCATCTCCATGGGAAACAGAGCAACTCATCCCAGCTCTACATAACTGGAGACTGGGACAAATGGGATCAAAACCTGAATTTTTTCCAATTTCAGCTTTAATGCTGTAAAAGATCCAGCCTACACTCTGCAAAACAAAAGTTTCTTTTTCCTTTTGAGTTCCTTTTTTCTTTTTTTTTTTCTCTCTGGAAGAAAACTACTACATTGCAACTGTCTGTACCTGCTGACACTCACTGCACTTTGATGCTTTGATGATGTTCTGGGGAAAAACTGCATTTACCAGAGCAATTCCACTGCTTGAAGAGTCTCTGTGTCAGGGAATTCAGGAGAACCCAGCAAAGACACATCTGCAACAGACTTGTCTGCTGAAAGAACTGAATTTGACATTTAAAAAACCCAATCTGGCTTCTCTTACTCTCTCAAATGGGAGAGGAGACAGAGGAGCAGAGGCAGAGAGGGGTTTAGCATCACTAATTTGCTGAGCTCACGCTTGAACTGATACATTTTAATTCTTCTGAAAATAATTTTTTAAAAAAACAGCATATCCAGGAGGCAGATTAAGCCAAGAGACACAGAAAACAATAAAAGATCACCTTTGGTTTACCTCAGTTCTGCAAGGGCTTTTGCTGGCAGGCAGATAAATCACAGTTTGTTGAAACAGCTACTGAGCATTTCTGCTCTCAGGACAGAGCTGTTCCCCTTGCTGAGACAGCTCTACCTCTGCAACATTAATTTCTAGTCCAGCCATTCTGATAACTTAGCTGCTTCCAACTCCTGATTCACAATGGTTAAATAAAAGAAAACACATCTGCAACCTCTGACCACAGCAGAAAAACTACTGAAACACAACCAATTTCAACAGGAGCATCCTCTGATGTGACACGAGGCAAAATTACCAATTTTTTATTGGAGGTTGTAGTTGGCTCGTCCTCCCCTGTCTTCAACAATTTATTAGAGCAATTACATATTAAGGGCATTATTATTTCCCACGTTTTCTTTGTCTTTGTCTGCAGCAAACAGGATTTTAACAGAAACTCACCAGTGGAGTGTCTTTGCCCCCAACGATGCTGAGCCCGAGGCCTGAGCGACCCTTGGAGATCTCTATGGTCATTTCCTGCCCTGGAATTATGGCACAGGTGGCTGGATCCACAGGCAGAGGAGCTGGGAAGACACCTGAGAACATCGAAAAGGAAAGAAGTAAGTCACACAACACAGTAAGGAAATGAGAACCACCAAAGGTGGTTCACCAAATTCAGCTTTTTTTTTGCTCTTCACCTTAATAAAATTGAGCTACAGGACCACACTGAGTCACTTCTGAAGTCTCTGAACCAGAGTGACTTGAGTTATCCCAGTAAAAGCCTGTTTTATCTAATCTAATTCACTTTTAACCTCTACAATTCAGATCATGATGAAAATAAATATTCCTTCCAGGGCAGATATTCTAGCACCATGGAATGAGCAGCATGACCCAAGTTGTCTTTCCTTCTATTTCAATTGAAAATGAGATCATCTTTGTACGTAAAAGTCAAGGAAAACAAGTGAAGACACCTTCAAGCTCTCAAAAATTGTGACAGGAGAGAAAAATACAAACACGCTATAAAATAACTTAGAATAGGTCACTGGATGTTCAAAGAAACAAAACTTCAGCAAAAGTTATCTGGAAAACAAAATGAAAACATCCATCTTGGGTCAGGGTACTAAAATTACACTAAATTGGTGCAAAGTCACTGGTTCCTACCACGGCTGGTGACTTCTGCTTCTGGAGAAAGGTAAGGAGGTGCTGGCTCCAGGGGCAGATCCTGGGAGCTCACTGGGGCTTTCGTGGCAAATTTGGGCTGTCTGAGCTGGTTGAGGACCTAAAAGCAAAGCAGAAGCAGGAGAGATCAGTTATCAGTCACAGCAAGGCATGATATGGTGAGGGCTGCTGGTTACTGTGCCTCACTAAACCCTCAAAATCAACAGAAGGAAAAACAATTTCCACACATTCAATGAGGAGCCAGTAATTTTTTTACGTTTCCATCAATAAAATTATTTTAATGTCTTCCCAGTTAATCCTCTCCCCCCACGAATCACTCAGTCTTTAACCAAATCAAGCCCTCAGAACCTTCCCTCACTGGTTAACACAAACACACAAACATTTTCCTGATCACACATACGTTTTCTGGGAGCTGCTCCTCTGGCTCCTGCTGATCTGCCACCACTGGTATATCAGTGTCTTTACATTTCACATCCTATAAAGTCAAAAAAGAAAGTGAGGTGTATTGAAAATGTCTCATTAGCTTCAATAAAATATCCTCCAAAACTCAGATTCTGGAGGAATACAGAGATGGAATTTTAGGTCCCTGCCAACCCAAACCAGTCTGGGATTCCAAGATTTCTCCATCTAAATCCATTTGTGCCACCAAAAAAAGCTGAAGCCCAAAACTGAACAGAGGCAAAGCTGCTGTGAGCACAGGGAATATCAGGAGTTATTAAAATCACACCCCTCAGTTCTGAGGGCTGGCAATGCACAGGAGGGATTTGTGGGGAGGAGATGATCACACTTGCTCTGTGTTGTTCCAGAGCTGCAGGAAACTCTGGAATAACTGGGACAGCAATTCCCAAGCTCTGTGCAGGGACCCCTCAGTGCCCACAGCAGGAAGGGGCTCCAAGTCATCTGCTCTCTCCTCCCCCTCCTTTTTTGGCTCTCCTAAATAAAGAAACTGCTTAAAATGCATCCTCCAGCCTCATTTAAAAGGTCCCCAGCAATGGTATTGCAATCACTGGCCCCCCTTGTAGCCTAATTTATTTCTGTACCTTTGCAATACACAAAAATATATTTTTTTATCTCCTACTTCTACAACTGCTTCCAGACAGGTACAGTGCCCTCCCTTGTTAGCTCTTCACTAAACTTAGGCCACTTTGATCCAAGTAATAGTTAATTTTCTCATCCCATATTAAAAACCCCTGATAAACAGCCTAGTTTGTAGAAAAACTAAGTATCAACTTCCAAAGATTACCTCAAATCTTTTTCAAATATTCAAAAGTTACTCTGCAACTCAGGAAGCATTTCTAATTAAGATGACAGTTTCTACATTTAAAAAAAAAAAAGTAAACAGAGTTGTAAGTAATACAGCTTGGAAATACTGGCCTTGTTTGCTGGACTTTTATTATGTTAAAAGATGCCAACCCCCACAGGATCTTTCTTTTTTCCTCCCCTTGAATTTTTCTCCAAGCTTGCTGTAACTCTACAACTGCAACTATTATCCAAAAGGATAACAGGAAAAAAGATAAAGTGGTGATGTCATTGTATTATCAGAGGTGTCAGGGGAGAAATGGGAAGGTTGCTTTGTCATTTTCTGAGAGATTGTTTTAATGAGCAACGAAAAATTACTTCATACTTCCCTTTTTCATTGTGATATGTGACTAAAATCTGAAGCTTCACCTTGCCCCACAAGTAAGCACCAGGCAGCACCTTTACATGTCCCTGATCCTTTAACTGAGGCTGTGCTAGAGGTACTGAACAAAATAACACCAAATACACTCAGCATTTGTCAAAAGCCTGCAGCCCAACTGGTTTAATCAAATCCAAGCCCCTCGACTCCATCCAAAAGCACTTTTACACAGCCCCTCCTCTTTGCCAGTGTTTCAAGGATGTGTTTTCTGTTCGTGCTGAAGACAGATTATTGTTCCAAGTTCAAACCTTTAAAGGCAAATGAATCCATTCTCACATACCATTTTCACTTTGTCAGATTAAATCTTCCAAGAGCATCTCAAAGCCTCCTCCATCAATTCTTTTCCAAGGACACCTTATGGAAAACCAGATTTCTTCAGCCCTCAGAAACCCAGGACCTTCCATGAGGCCAGCTCGACCCTCAGCTAATAAACACACAGACTTTGCCTAACGCTTCCACTGGCTCCAGTTCAGAAACAAAGTTGTTTTCCTTCCCCCTTCTTATCATCCAAGCCTACAATGATGTCCATTATACAACTTTATAGCTTTTAAAGTGATGAAGTGGCAACAAAGAGTATGTTGTGATAGACTGACAAATTTATCAGCAACAGATGAATAGAGAATGATGTGAATTTTTTAACTTTCCTTTTATTACAGCTGTCACTTGGTGAGACATCCTGCCCATGCTTTGAGCTGTACATACTTGTGGAAGATCTCTGCTGATAAGCACATACTTTTTATTTACTCAGTGAACTTGATCTTGCTTGTTGACTTTTACATTCCTGATTTCTCCTGACACATGACTGAGAAATTCAGACACAATGGTGAAGTAGCACTGAGGCTCTGGTAGCAACATCATGCTATGAAAAATAAGGCACTGCTTTCTTTTGCTTCCACAGTCACTAGAAGGCTGCAAGACAAATCTCCCTTCCCAAAAATATCAATTTCTGTTGTGCTGCACTGCAGAGTCAAAGTCTCAGTGCCAGTTGTGCCTACAAACCCTTTGGGCCAGAACCATCAGCACACTCCCAAAACTGAGATCCACTCACAAATACTTCCCATGGAGGTTTAAAATCCTGATGGTAAGAACACTCTGAAATTATGAAACTGCCTTCTGCCATTATTTTTCATCCACTTATACCCCTAAACCAAGGGCTGGCCCAGCAGAAGGAATTATGGAATGAGCAGTTGGGTCTACAGGAATTCCAATATTTCAGTGCAGGTCCTTGCCTTCTCTTACCTCTCTGCCATTGCTTTGTTTTAGAAAACTCTTTTTCTTTCTTTTCTTTTTCCTTTCAACTTGTGCCCTTTGGCTCCACAGTTCCCTTCTTTCTTGCTCCAAGTCTGAAAAGAAGCTGCCAATATATTCTGGGTTTCCTGTGGTTCCAGAGGCATCTTCCCCACACCCCCTACCTTGGATTGCTGCAGTTTCTTTTTCCTTTTTAATGAAATTAAATTCACCCCTCCTCCAACGTCACCCAAAGAGCTGCACAGCACCACAGCCTGCACCACAAGTTCACTTTTGTGTAACATTATTTTATGTATTTTTATCTGCCTCAGTCTTTGAGCAATTTCTCATATTTCCTTGCAATCCCTTTAACATTTCTTGCCAAGCTGAGCAAGAACTCCAATAAAACCAGGTGACTGACACCTACAAATACATACAGGGAAACTCTGATTCATTTATATTCCAGCCCATCAGAGGAATCTGCACTGGGCTACCAAATAGCAATAACTCAACCTTTTTGTGATCCATTAGGGACATAAATCAATCCATGGGTGATTAATTCTGATGCCTGAATAGCACATAACACTTCCTAACTCTTGGAATTTGCAGACTCATTAATTAAACACTTACTAGCTCCAGAGCATTATGTATATTCAATTTATATTTGCAACCCCCAAGACACTCCTTGGAGGAGACATGATGGAGCAGGAAGAAAACATCTAAGAGGAAAAATATCCAGAAATGTCAGGTTTCCTTAGCTGAGGAAACACAGCAAGTCCTGCACTCCTTGAAACTGGAGTAGGCAACAAAAAGACTCTCTCAGCAAATTTTGAGGTACCTCCAGGTTAGTCATGTTTAGTGTTTTTTCCATTTTAAACTTTTAACACAAAGAGAAGAGATCAGAGCTGCACCCTGAAGGACTTTCAGATTCCTGATAATGCATGAGCATGACCTATTAAACAACAAAAAGCTCCATCTGTATCAATGAGAAGTTCAGTATTTATTACAGTGCACACTGACAGAACCACATTAAACCACAAGTTATGGCCTTAATGCAGAAATCACTGAGAGCAACTCTATAGCTGTGTTATTCAGGAGGCAAGACTAGATTATGATAATAGACATCTTGGCCTCAGAATTTATGAAGCTATGAATAGAAATGAGAATATGATTTACAGACCAGGCTTTTTCTAAAGTTTGTCACACATGGATGGCAGGAGTGGAAAAACAATCCCCTCATTCACCAAGAACCCAAGAGAGGCCAAAATGCTGGGTGAAAACTCTTACCTTGGTATTTTAACAATTTATACTGAGTGCTCAGTTCATGAGAACAGGCTGTGTGTGTAAAGCTGAGTTTGATTCTGCTTTTACACATACTGGATATTATTTGACAAAAGTGCTGCAACATTCCAACAAAAAGGCAGAGAAAACCAATCCAGCCCAGTGAGCCTCCACATTCTAAACTCTAATCATCATTAAATATTGCTTTAAGTCACTCACAGCTCTGTTGGACTCCTCATCAGTCAGGCTTTTCATGACAACTTCCAAACTTGGGTCTTCCTCACCACTTGCAGGTTCAGTGCCACCGTGGTCCTGGGAGAAAGGATTGACAACAGCTTTGAAATGTAACAGCTGAACAGAAAAATTACACAGTTTTACCATTTCTTGTTGGGTTTTTTTTAGACAAGGTAGAAAGATGCACAGTTAGAGCCTCCCCATGTCAGGGGGTGAACGAGGGATGTGAGTCTGGGAAGGCAGACCTTGGTCCCCACCTGGCTGACAAAAAGCACCACAAGATATTCCCAAAACTGCACTCAGGGGCAACTTTCAAGGCCAGACTAATCCCTGCCAGCTGTGGAAGCTGTGGGTTTGGTATGAATTGCCTTCCTCCAGACCTCTGCCACATGCTCAGCACGTTAAAGGAGTCCCAGGCTCCTTCACACATCAGAACAGCTTGGGAAAATCATGGAATGGTTTGGCTGGGAAGGGACCTTAAAGCCCTTTGGGCACTGCCAGGGGCTCTGAGCTCTCCCTGGATCCTTCTCCTCTCCAGGGGAGCACCCCCAGCTCTCCCAGCCTGGCTCCAGAGCAGGTGAACTCCAACCCTGAAGCAGCTCTGGGGCCTCCTCTGGACTCTTCAGGCCTAGAAACAAAACTATTTCTGAATTTTCATTAGACACTTTACATTTAAGTAAACGTAAACTCAAATGTCTCAACCACCACTTGAGTGGACAAAGCACCTCTGTTTACTGCTGAAAAAAGTCACCTCATTCTGTGATTTTCTGGTGATTGAAACTTCTTAAAACATATTTTTATTATATTAATAATAATTAAAAAATTAATATTTAATATACTCTGTTTCTGGTGTCCTGCCCACAGTATCACACCACACCACAGTCTTATCCTGTCCTGCAAACCCCTGATTTAAGGTGTATTTACTGTTTATCACTTTTCATATAACAAAGATAAAGAGATCAGCTGCAGATAAAGACATAAGACAAAGATCAAGAGAGAAGCTGAAGAAAACTAACACAATAATCCATGGTAACTATGGCACCCTGGTATTCCATTCCACCAGCCAGGCTCTTTAATGTGATCTGACAAGGTACATGCAGGGTGCATGTAACACACCATGTTAAATATTTATGTGGTATTTCAAAGATATTTGAAGATACAATTTCTAGATACAAGGGCATTTTTTCTTTATTTAAAGAGAGGAAGAGCTGCCAAAGAAAGCAATGTGAACTACTGTATAACATCACTATATTTGGTTATGTTGATTTTATATAATAAAAAGATACCAGCTAGAAATAAAAAACCTGCATTTACTTATAAAACAAACATAATGTAAATAGTAAGAACTTGCCATTAATGCATGAAACTCAACCCACAAGCATCTACCTCTAAAGGCAGGCAAAGACACACTTTGGAAGAGATTAATTAGAGCCATTTGACCACAGTACTGAATGTACCTAAACAAAGTTTTGTGCTTCATCCTGAAGGCACAAATATTAAACAAAGCTGGGAACAAATGCAGGTATTAAAGAGTCACCAGAACTAAAATGAACTCTGTGAATTGTAGAGTAATTTATAAAGCAGCAGCTGCACCTGGGATGCACTGCTGGTGTGGAGAAGGAAAAGCCAAAGCACTGTCCAAAAACGACTCAGATCCAAACAAAACATGAGCAGTTTTTGCTCTGTACAGCACCAGGCCTGCAAGGAGCAGCCATCAGGGGTGACAGAATCTGGAAAAGAACAGCAAGAGTGCAAACAAACAGGAGATGCATCCAGCCTTACCTCCCGTGGCCCCGTGCTGAGGGATCCCAGCCACGCTCATGGAAATACCAGGAGTTCAATGCACATGAATTTATTGAGGCAAGACCAAACCCCAATTGAATTACAAAACATCTTTTGCTTTATTAGCTCAGATAGAAATAGAATTAAAAAGCAACAGCAAGGCTAACCGTGTAGTTTATCCAGAAAATTTAGTTACACCACATTGAGATGTCAAAATGATAACGAGTGTGGTGGCTGCAGGGATTCCTGGTGCACAGAGCAGCAATCAGTCTGCACTGGGGCTGAGGTAGCACCAGGAATCACGGAAAACACTGGCAACGTGACCACACCACACCGAGATTGTTCTGCCATTGGGAGATTATCCCAGGCAAAACTGCCTCACCACAAGCACCACGACCAGCTGGAAAAGGAGCAGGAGGTGGCAAGGTTTAAATGTGGAGCCTTCTCTTCCTCCTGTTTTATACCTGCTGTTAATGCCATGCAGGTCTGTCAGTAACAAGCAGATCAATAAGAAAGAGACAAGGCAAAATAAGCCCTATTAGGCCAAGTCTCTACCCAATGCATTTTATGATCCCGGGTTCAATTAGACAAGGTGCTCGAACTTATCATGAGCTGCTAATTATGATTAATCTGTGCAATTTAGCAGTCTCTAATTAAAAGCAACAGCCTACAAACCTTACCTCGATAGCAGAGTGGGAGCCTGAAGGCAGTGGGAAGGGAGTGACAGCCATCTGGTTGACTGCATCTTCACTTCTGTACAACAAAACAACACCACGTTACACACCAAACCAGGCACGAAATTCTCCTTTGAGTTGGTTCTGCCCATTAAGAAAATACCTTCACTAGCATGACAACTGTTTTTTTACCAGAGTTAGAGCTTAGAAAATCACTTTATTTTTGCTCTGGGTCCTTGCTCCCCAACAGGTCACATCCCTCCATGGGACCAGAGGAGGCTCAGCTGGGACACACTGACTTCATGGCCTTTGGAAATCTAATTTTGTGTGGATTATCAGAGGATGCAGTTGGAGTTTATGGTCCCTACACATCCATAGATGTGCTCACACTTACTCAGCCTCTTTTAATGGTCTCTACATCTGTAAACTGCTTGTTTATAGTTTCACATTCACGTTACTGAAATACAATACCTGTTTTAATATAACAGATTGCTTTCTCTTTTTTTTTGTTCATTTTTGCTGTGGTCTTTTCTAAACGATTCAATGTAAAACCTTGGAAGAGATTTTATAAAATGCAGGGAGGAGATGAATGCTGATTCTCCCTACATACAAAGTAAATTATTTTTCCAAAATGCTTATGATGTATGGCATCTTTTTCTCTCTCTTTAAAACGCCTGTAAAGTTGACATCTGATTACTTTGGATTTTTATTTATCAGCATTCTGCCTTGCTGATGTTTTTCCTCGATTGCCATTTAAACTGATTTGTTTTCTGGAATTAGCTCTGCATTTTTTTTTGCCTCTGTAAAACGAAACCAGGTAACAGATGAGTTCAGTGATATCATTTAAGGCAAATCATCGCAGAATCACAGAATGTTTTGGGTGGGAAGGGACCTTAAAGCTCACCCAGTGCCACCCCTGCCATGGCAGGGACACCTCCCACTGTCCCAGGCTGCTCCAGCCTGGCCTTGGGCACTGCCAGGGATCCAGGGACAGCCACAGCTGCTCTGGGCACCCTGTGCCAGGGCCTGCCCACCCTCAAGGAGAAGAATTTATTCTCAAAAATCCAATGTAAATTCACCCCAGCCAGCTTAAAGCCATTCCCCCCTGTCCTATTACTTCATCCCTTTTCACAAAGTCCCTTCTCCAGCCTTTCTGCAGGAGGAATCAGTGATGCTGCTGCTCCACAGGTACAGTTCTTAGATGAGAGGAAGTGACTTCTCATGGCTCTGGTCCTCTTTACTGCATTCCATGTCACTGTGACACGAGCAGCATTTTTTCCTCTTTAATTTCTGGGATAAACTCTTAGATTATTATGTGTTTTTAACTCATTTTATGGAAGTGCCTGAAAGAAAAAAAAATCTAATTTTCCCCCTGAAGGGTTAAAACACACGGAGCTAGCGTGTTGTGATCACTGTGAATCAGCACAGCAGCAAATGGGAGTCACAGGCACTCGAAAAGGCAAATCCTGCAGGCAGAGGTTGGTGAATTCATTTACTTATCTTCAGCCCCAGGCTCCGAGGAGCTGGCTGGGAGCTGCTCAGAGCTGTCCTGGCTCTCAGCCTCCCCTCCTGGCCCTGCTCAGAGCCCTGCAGCAGTGAGAGCCCAGGCTGGGAGTGGGCTCGTGGTGCAGAGATGCAGGGCCAGGACAAGCCCATGAATTTCATCAGCATTTCACAATTTCCAAGTGCATTTTACCCCACGGGGCATGTTGGGCAAGGACATTTCCCCTGCTCTTATCTTCGTGAGACATCGATCTCATTATGGCTGGTGCTTTTCTAACCTACAGGAATAAATCAGCACAGGAGAGGCCCCAGTGATTTTGTGATTTTTCCTTTTCCTGGCAATAGTTTATGTGAAGTACAATCAGCATGAAAACCAACCCCACTCTGCAGTTCACAATGCAGGCTGCATGCTGTGCAATTAGGAGCAAACATGGAAATAAAGAGGAACATATAGAAAAGCTTTTGTAAGAAACACCCTAAAAATTGCTAGACAGAAGCTCCATGACAAAATAAAGGTACAATTAATTATCCAAACTAGTTTTCACTTCATACACATACACTTTTGTATTTTTTTCCATCAGTGGGAAAAAAAAAATCTCTATTCAGCTTTAAGTGGATGGCCATTTTTATTCCAAGCAATAACAAAACCACTGATGGTAATTCCCCAGGGGAAAAAAAAAAAAAGCAAAAATATAAAAAACCCCAAGGTTACACAGTGTCACAACTTGTAATCTCCCCCTGCTAGGACTCGTACATATTTAAATACTTTAATGCTGCTTCAAAGGAGAATGCTTCAAAGCAGAATCAAAGTGGGAATATATTTTAAAGTGACAGATCTAATAATAAATAGCTGTTTTTGCTCTCCACTTCCACAAGTGTCCTCAACTAAAATGTGAATTTATTTATGACTAAAAGGAGCAATCATTTTCTTTTGATGCAGGGGCAGACAGCTTAGAAGTCTGACCATCATATTCAAATTACAGTGACTGCAGATGAGCATTCAACATATCTGCCAATATTTGCTCCAGAACCACCTCCAAAAAAGCTGTTCCCAGTTACTGGTGCTCAATATTGCTTGGGGTTAAGGTGTCTAAACCTTCACACTCGAGATAAAGGCTTCATTCCTTATTACATTTTACTTCTTTCTAATCTAAATAGGACCCTTGGACATCCCCCATCCTGTCTTGTAGACCAAAAATTAAAAGTCCTGATGTTTTGCTCCACCTGCACACTCTTGCAGCTTAAGCAAAGACAAAAATATTTACTACTGACTTAAATACCACAAAAACTTGGTACAAAAGAAGCCTAAAGAGAGCCACAAGCAAATAGAAATCCAAAGGGAGCACCCATTCCGTGCTGCAGGAAGGAAGCCTGAAGGGAAGCTGAAGCTGGGTGCTGTAAGGCAAAACCAGGAGAAATCCCAAACCAGACCCACCGAGAGGGGCAACCCCAGCACACAAACGATTTAATTCCTCAAGGACACACTGAATTCCCCTCTGGGGGCTCCTGGCCACTTTTGACTCATCACAGATGTCCTCTGGATGTATAAACCAAGGGGGAAAAACCTCCTGCAAAATTGTCTGCAGCCACACAGCTCCTCAGCACTGAGAGAGAATTTGACAACAGCTTTGCAAGGGGCTGTGGATGCTTTTTGTGGGAATACATCAAGAATCAGCAGAAAAACCCAATAGCTTGTATGAAGTGACACAAAATCTTAGAACAGAGCTGTGGAACAAGAGGATAAATCTTTCCTCTGCAAGGTGACACCAGAACAAGAAATCTTGCAGATTATCTAAAGCTTATATTGCTCACATCCTGCTTGCTAAGTTAAAATAAAAAAAATTAAATAAATCAGGGTCTTGTGTTTTCTCATCTTTGTCTTCCCTCTAGAAGCTCCTTTGGACACGAGGAGCTGCAGGAAAGCTGCACAGGGAGCACACAACACTGGGCTTCTCCTCCAGCTGGGGCAAGGCAGGACCTTTGTGCTGTGCATCTTCCTGAAAAATCTCTCCCACAGCAGCAAGAACAGTCTTGTTCTGCACTTCCTCTCCATCCCCTCCCAATTACATGGGAGCCACAGGCACACGGGTATTTTAAATGAACAACTAATGTTCATATAAACTGCAGTTTAGGTCATCAAAGGTTTTGAAGGAGCCCAAATTACTGAATTTCCTGAACCATGTGCCTGTTCCCACACGTGTATGACAGAGAGGAGGAAACAGCTCTGGAGAAAGCAGGAAAAGTCCAAACTTGCTCACACACAGGGCCTGGCAAGGGCTTATTTTTAAAGCTTTCCCACATGAAAGAACCTCAGCAATCAAAGCAAGTAAAAACAGGAGTTTATACTCTTAAAATATGGCCAATTACATAGGTTTGAACGAACGCTAAAATAATTTTTAAAGCATGGCAGTATTTGAGAGTGGCACTAAACATTAAGATGTCACTTCTAGAGGCTCTGAAAGAAGAGCCCAAGTCAGAGCAATGGGGAGTGCTGAAGAACCCAGACATTCCCCAGTCCTTGGAGTAGAAGGATCCCTCTCCTCTGCACATCACCACAAATAACAGGAGATTACACCTGGAAGTGGAAGGAGGGGCTGGGTGACAGATTTGTGGGCTTCACAATCCCACCAGCAGGAAGCAGCAATATCAGAGCAGGGACTGCAGTGAGGGAGGGCTCAGGACAGGTAACAGATGGTATTTAAATCAGAGAAATCCCTCACTGTTAAAGCATTTCTCATGGTTCATAGCAGCAAAAGGCAATTTTCTTTTAAGGGATACAGGTAGAGCAAAGAGTGACTCACAGGACTGAACACAATGGGAGGATGGTTTGAAATCAGTGGAATTCACTTTGATTCAAGCACTCGGCTATATTTGATCTGCTTGTTATACCAACACTGAAGCACCAAAACAGATTAAAGGCAGTTAATTGAGCATGGAAAAAACACTGAGTTTGCTGAATCATAAAATTCTCACTGTAAAAGAGCACTCTGATGTAAACTGGATTTCCTACTCCAGATGTAAAATCTAATTATATTGTTTCATTATGCAAGTTACAGGGATGGACTTACAACACATCACTAAAACCCACAATGGGTAGAAAACACATCCTATTTTGGGAACTGGGGCACAGACACTCCTAAAACAAGCAAGTCCCTTTCTCATATTATTACCTGGCTAATTCCTGTTGGAGAATCAGAGCAAGAATTTCAAAAGGCAACTAAGACATTACATCCCTTATTGCCCCTGAAGAAAGGAAAGTGACACTATAACTGCAAATCTTTTAGATGCTCTTAGAAGCTCAAGTAATTAATGAGAACACTGGGAAACAGGGCTGTGTTTAGACCTATATTTTGGAATCTGGCCAAAATCAACTGTTTTAAATAATCATCGTCAACCTAATTGAGGAAAAGATGCTCATAAAGCAGAGTGAGAAGCCTTCAAACATAAGGGGGTGTCTGTGATTCTCACAACAGCTACTGAGCTGTGTCTCATCAGCAAAAATTCCAGGAAAGGGTGGGAATGCAATTGTAACACTACCTGTGTGTAAAAAAGTGTGAACAGACTTTTATAGCACACATGGTAAGTCAGGATTTTAGCAAAAAAAAGTCAAAAAGGCTGAGGATACCTTTTATCCTTTATCTTTGTCTAGAAAAAGAAATAAATTTGGGGTTGGAGCTGGATAATCTTTAATGTCCCTTCCAACCCAAACCATTCTATGATTCTCTGAAGTTATTTAATGATAGTTATTACAGCTCTCACAGAAAGGCTTTTCTGTGCCCAGGAATTTCTGGGCTTCTTTCACAACTGATTAAGGAGTTTATGGAAACATCCCCCTGCCCTGCACATGAACCAAAACACCAGGAATAGGAAAACCTGGATGCTGTTTCCTGCTTCCAAGTGGAAAGCAGCATGCTTATCACCCAGCATCCTCCATCTCAGGGAAAAAAAGGTCTCAGGGTATCAGAGAGGGCACTTGGAATAGCCCAGAAATTCCACCAGTTTGGATTTTATGCCCTGAATCAGCTCAGTCAGGACCTTTTTAGGCTGTGGATTGATGTGTTTCTAGAAAATTACAATCTACTCAGTTTTTTTTTCACTGGTGAAATGAGAATATTCATATTTTTATGAACATGAAAATCAAATTAATTTCTCTCACAACTCCAGCAGTCCATGCCATTTTGCTCTGGTGAGCTGTGGTGTAACTTAGCCAAAACACATCCAGAGGCACAGAAAGGCCACAGCTCTTGTTTTCACTCAGCAGCATCCACTGGGTTTGTGGTCTGAGGTGGAGGAATGGGAAGCACCAAGACAGGCTGGGCTCATGGAACACAATTTGCATGAGAAGAGCAAATAAAATCCACATTTAAGAGAGACAGCCTAATTTGTCTTTGCTAGAACTCGACCACACATCACAAAACAAGGGACATTGGTTTTCTCCTAATGTTTGGGGCAGTGCTCCAGTTACTAAGGACATCCTCTCAGTGGGAGAATTCCCTTTTATTGCTGCTCCAGTGGCTGCCTGGGCTGAGCAAATAGACCCATGAGTGTAAGGCCAAGAGCAGTGACAAGATTTTGTGCTCCTGGGAAGATGGAAGTTTACAATCTCAGCAGCAACATTTAAAAGTGTTGTTTTTTTTTTTTTTTAACTCTGAGATGGAAACAAGAATCACTCAATGGTATTTCTAGTATCTCTTGAATATTTGAGATAAATTTTTGCCTTGAAACTCATAATCCAAAAAGGGGAATTTTAGCTAAGAACCTACATGGCCTTTGTGTCTCAAACACCAAGGATCTCCAGTCCATGGGAAGTGGAGCTGATGGGGCCCATCCCCTGCAGTTCTGCTTGGAGCTTGGCTTGGGCTTCCACAAGTTGTGGTTTTGCCTCTGGAACTTCCAAACCAGACACATTTTCCACAGGCAATTAAATAATGGTGAGTGAGCCGTGGGACGTGACGTTTAATTTTCAATGGCTGGGGAAAGTAACACAGGAGCTGCAGGCAAGAGAATTAATCTCCTCCAGATCCCCTGAGCTGCCAGGGATAGCAACTCATTCCTCACGGTGCTAATGCTGCTCTTCCATCATTTCTGGGCACGCTGCACCAGGCAGAGCTGTGGCAGTAAATGTACACATTTATATGCATTCACCCACAGATTATTACATTGTTCACAGGGAGGCTGTGGATGAGCCAGGAATATAAAACAATATCAAGTATGATGTATGTGTTGGTGGGAAGACCACCTTATAAAATGGCATGGGGGTAAGTGCCCAACAAAAGGCACAGCTGGAATTTATTCATAAATACACACCTATGGAATTCCAGCCTGTTAAAGCATGTATGAGTCCTGGGAAAGAGGCAGCTTCTTCCCAGACCTCCTGCCCAGGGTCAGAAGAGCAACACTTCCTGAACTACTGAGGGAATGCATGCAGGTGTCTTTAATCCATGTACAAAGAGGAAAAATTTTCATGCTTGGAGCAAAAGAAAAATGCCCACATGTAATTTTTATGCAGATGAAAGGATGTTTTAGCATATTCCCTCCCACACAATCCATCCCAGAGCTCCTTGGCAAAGTCAGGTTTCCCCTTTGTACAAACAAGCCCTTGCTCACTTTCAAAATCCTCTTTTGATGCCCACACAAAGGTAACCTTCATGATTCCACCCAGCTCGTGCTCCATGAGCTTCATCCCTGCTCCTCTCCCAGCAATCCCAAGCCTCTGCACCATTCCCACTCCCTCCTGGCTGGATGAACAAGCTGCCCTCTCCAACCCTGTGCTGAACCATCCCAAAGCACTTTAGGAAGTTGTGGGAGAAGCAGCTCCCAAGCCCAAGAGGAATAGCTCAAGTTTTCAGCAGACACCCCTAAAATAAGCATTCATTTCCATTTGATTTATTTTTTTTTTACATTATTATGGAGAACCCTTCAACAGTTCCAAGAAGAACAGTCAGGGAAAAGGCTTTTTCACCTTCAAAGAGAACTAAGAAAGTTCAGCATGTGCAAAGCAGGATAAATATGTAAATATGTCATGGAATAGGCTAAAGTGCAACAAATGTTTTGATGAGAACTGTTCTTACCGTATGAAAACCAGCTTGACCTTTGATGGGGCAGTTTTAATGATTGCAGAAGCATTCTGGTGGCTTCTTCCATACAATATCTGATTGTTTATCTGTTAAAAGAAAATTATTTTCATGTAAGTGGAGGAGTACACCTTGTTCTAATTTATACCACCAAGACTTCCAAGTTTACTGTGGGATAAAGAGATAAGACTCAAAGAAATTGTGGTCTCCAAATCTTGATCTATATAAAACAGGAACCAATGCAGAGCTAATTTACTGCTATTAGTAAACCACAAATGAAAGAAATCTTTTTTTTCCCCCCCACAGATCTCTTGAAATGGGTATTAAGGATTATTCCCAGATTTTTGGAAAACAGCTTGATCTGAGGAGAATCACACAGATGTGACAACAGCACAGATGTTTGGACAGACACTCCTGCACTTTGCCTGCAGGCTCTGGCCATGGAGGAAAAGCGGCTGCTAAGATTGTGCTGACTCCTCAGCCCTGCTGAAGGAAACAGGAGTGGCAGTCAGGGACACGAAGGCCAATTTAATGATGCTGCCTCACTTTTGCTGTGCTGGATCCACACCTGAGCACAGCAGCAGACACCAAGCACTGCTCTGGACACATGGAAATGCTGCAGCTTCCAGGGAAAAACAGCCTGACCCAGGCCATGGCTTGGACTGGTCAGCAATGGTGTGGCCACAGCACCAGGGCAGTGACCACTGACCCCTGTGCTGGACACTGCTGGGCCACCTCCAGGGATGGGGTCAGTTCTGGGGTCCCCGAAGAGGCACATGGAGAGGCTGGAGCATGGAAGGGAAAAGGGATGGGAGAGGATCTGGGGAACCAGGAGAGGCTGAGGGAGCTGGGAAGGGAATGGAGAATCCCTGAGGGAAATGGGAAGGG